GTAACATCAATTCCCACGTATACACGTCATCATCACATGCACCTTCGATAAGTACGTCTGCGAAGCTGAATCAGTTCATTATCACAGCTGTTCTTCCAGTACCTATGATAGAAATACACCTACTTGCGTCATTCGTTGTCAGAGATCTCTTAGCGACAGTACCTGTGAGCTCGGGCGGTCCCTGGAGATTCTTTTTTTTTTTTCATAGAGATCAGAAAGTGACAAAGCCAAAAATAATCCAGTGCGGCGGAAGTGACCGCCATGTAACCTTCCCTCGAATTTTAATAAGTGCTTAACCTACATGGTCCTTATCTATCTATCATTAATCCTGTCCCGGTCAGTCGACATAGAAGGTTTATCAATGAGGTGGATAACCATCTACTATCACCGGGTCTAAGAACTCTCTCTGGACACATATAGTCTCCGCCCTGCCCCCGCAGGCCCCTATAAAAGGACCAGGTCTCCACACTCACTCATCACAGTCCAATCCTCCTCTCTCCTTCCCTCATCCCCCCACCATTGTTTCTTCTCGCTCTCTGAGAAGACTCGTCATGAATGGAGTGACATAAAATCGATCTGTACGCATTCAAATAATTTATCGTTGTTCTTCTTTGAGAATTGCCAGGTTCACAAAGAAGAGCAACTGGTGAGTGCTTCAGTATGATTTTCGGATGAGGGAAAGGCAGGTTGTCGAGTGATCGTAACATCGGAACTACTGTCCGCCCGACTGGCATGGACTACCCAATCTCCTTTGATTGTTTCAAATTTTATTTTTTCTACTATTCTTTATGAATTTTGGTGTCGACTCGGATTTTACTGATAGATTCTCCAGGTAAGCGGCCAAAAATTTCTTTTCAATCCATCCCAAGAGAGCGCCTTATTTCAAAAACTGATTTCAGATCACTTTCCGATGCTTTCTACTTCTGCCGATCTCGACTCTGTTGAAGACATGAGCGATGCCGGTTAGTTTGAAAAATTATATTTAAAATCCTATTCTTTGAAATACAGAATACGCTGCTCAACAGATAGTCATAAGAGAAGAAGCAATAGGGATTGAAAAATATTGTAAAAGGTTGAGAAGTGGTGAGTTTTGAACTTCGTCTTTATCGAAATAAGTGTTTGTTTTTTAGATTACAGAAGGTACGTCAAGGTGCTACAAGAAAAGATTCAACGATTGGAATCAGAGATGGCTAAGAAGAACCGAACGACGGAAAGCTTATGACGCCAATTTTAGTAAGTTTTGTTTTGTTATTTTTCAAGAAATGTGATGTGAATTTTAGAGTTAAGAACACTGCAGAATAATGCTGACGCCGCCAAAAGGAAAAATGAAAGCAGCATCAAGGAGTTGAATGTTCAACTCCAGAAAGTGGATGGCAAACTCCAGGAGTTGGAATACGGTGAGTTAACTAGGCAAAATATGATTTCAAAGACCAATTGAAATTTTTCAGAAACCTCTAATAATGTAGGTACGATTAATATTCAAAGAGCAGCTCTGATCAGGAAAGATGAAGAAATCAAAAATGAGAGAGAAGGTTTGTAAAACTATGAAGATATCAGAAAGGCATCAGTGCCTGTGTAGAATTAGAATTTAAAAAGGAAGAGTGTTTTACATATAATCTTGTGTTTTCAGCACATCAGATGGCCCTCCAAAACCTTCAGGACCAACTTGATGAGGCCAACAAGAAGTTAGCCGATAAGGATACTGGTATATTCTTGAACTCATCTTATATTCAATATTTTTGTTTGACTTTTAGCTCACGAAGAAGCTCTCAGCAAGATCCACGCCCAGCTAAAGGAGCAATGTGATCAAAGTGATAAATTGAAGAAAAGCAACAAAAGTGCGTTTTTTTTTCAAAGCCTGAGCAGGCAATAGTTGAGCCCAAATCATAAAATCCTTCGTCTTGGCTTCCTGAAGCTCTATTAATTTTCCAGAACAAGAAAGTCAATTAAAAACTGTGAGAGAAGAGGTCGAGAAGGTCGCATCCGAGGCCGAAACTCTTGAAGCCAGCATCGAAGAGAAAGATGCAGAAATTGCGAACTTGAAGAAAAGTGAGTACCAAAATCAATTAGAGCAACCTGTAGTATACTTTTTTTTTCTAATGAGAAAAAAACTTGATTTACATACAATAGTTTTCATTAGAACACCGATTTCCTTCATAATTGTTTTTCAGTTGTGGAAGCCACCAAAAAAGGATGGGAGGAGAAGATGGAAACTGCAGAGAAAGATCATAAGCTGGAAATCGAACGGCACCTCTAGTCGATAGATTTTTTTGAAAGACTTTTTGAATTCTTTTTGATAGCTTTTTCATGTTTTGCTTTAGCTTTTTATTAAACTCAAATATATACATCTGAAACATATAATAAATATAAAAGTTTTTTCTCGTTGATTTTTTCCACAGTATTCTATTGTTTTCAAAGTGTTCCAATTTCCAGTAAATCATTCCAGTTTGTTATCAGAATTATGAGTTCAAAACTAGATTCACAAACAAGTCCATAGGCTTACGCTGACTTTTTACCTACAGTGCCGTGCAAAAGTATACAAACACCACGTGAAAATTCAAGCCGTTTTGTTCGGGGAAATTCGGAAGACCAACTTGGAGCGAAGGTTCTAAAAGAAAACTGTTTCTGAACTTCATGATTACACTGTGCAAACGGT